ATTTACATTGCAGAACAAAATTCACTTTATTCGATATAGAAAATTGAGAAAAAACGTCAGAATTTTATGAGAATCTGAAAACTTGACATTTCACAAATTTCTGCTTGCCCTCGGCAAGCAGCTCGCCCAAATTCAGAGTGCACTTCGAAGTGAACTTCAAATTTATTTCAATGTAATTGGATCTGTGCTGCCGCCGTATGGCAAGCACGTCAATTTTAAGACAAATTCGATTTTGAAGTGGATGTGAATGCAGCATTTTTGTTTGACATGACACAGGAGGTCTTTCAATGTAATTTTCTTGAAGTTTAGAGTCCGATATTTCCAAAACGGCTTGATTAAAAGTAGTTAAACCATATATTTGAAATCAGGAAATTCGACTTTTTTCATCCATGAAGTAACATATAGGGTGTTCCATAAGAAAAAACTAAGCATCTGTCAAAATTTGACATTTCTTAAAGAACAAAAAAGTTTTTGACATTGGATTCAAAAATTTTTGTCAAAACCCCAAAACTTTTGTATTTACAATTTTTTGATATCTCTTCACATAACCCCTGTAGGCGAGTGGTCAATATATGGAGAAAGACCCTGTAAATGCCTATCTTAAGAGTTAGGACGTTTAGGACATACAGTAAGAATCATTTCAATTGGCTAAAGTTTGGCAAAGTTGCGTATTTTGATGCTTAACAAAATACCGTTTTGAAAATTTGAAAATTCCGAATAGTTCTGGAAATATTCGGAATAAATCGAAATTTTACAAAAGCTTTTTTATTTTTTTCTGAGCCTATTTGAAGAGATATTCAAAATAAATCCCACCTCATCGTTGCCACTTTTTCTCCTCTACAACATGCTACAATCAAATTTGAAATCTTACGTTTCGTCTTCGGGTCACCATCATCAACTCCAGTTTTTTAAATACGACCCTGTATTTTTTATTTCAGATTTAAGAGCTTCGGATGGCCCAAAACCTATGACGTATCGCATTTATTTGAAAAAATATTTTTATCACTTCTTACTAGCAATTTCCTACCAAAACTCTCTTCTCTGTCTCTCTCTAACACATCAAGTTCTTATGGAAAGTGCGAATAACATAAATATCTCCAATAAGTGCAATATGTCATTGGTTGTGGAACATCAGAAGATCCTAAAATCTAAAATAGAGAATAAGGGTCCGTATTTAAAAAACTGGAGTTGATAATAGTGGCCCAAAGACGAAACGTCAGATTTCAAATTTATTGGTAGTATCTTGTAGAGGAGAAAAAGTGGCAACAATGAAGTGACATTTATTTTGGGATATCTCTTCAAATAAGCTCAGAAAAAAATAAAAACGTTTTTGTGAAATTTCGATTTATTCCGGAACTATCGGAATTTTTAATATTCAAAACGGTATTTTTTCAAGCATCAAAATGCGCAACTTTGCCATAATTTAACCGACCCCGTATCTCTCACGGCTTCCGAGATCCCAATATGAGGCTCAAATTTGAGCCACCCTGTACATTCATATGAATTTGTCTTCTTGAAATAGACCAAAAATCACCTCCTTGAATATTGACATTCAATTTGGGGCCTGGGGCTATTACATTTTTAAGGAGCCCTTTATATATTTTTAAAGTATATATATAATTATCGGCTTATAATGTTTTTAGTGTTTGAGTTCCAGTTTATTTTTGTTTTTTAAATAGAAATTTTTAGTTTTCTGAATTTTGATAGGAAACAAAAAACTTTCTAGATTGCCACTATTTTATTCAAATGATACTGTTTTTCATGTTTCAGCACACGGTGCCTTATTCAGACGAAATTTTCAAAATGTCTTCATTATTAGTTTAATATAATATACAGGGTGTCCCAAGTTTCTGGGTAACCATTGAGATCTCAAATTCGCCTGAAAATGTTTGCAGTATAGACAGAGCTGGGCAAGCTACTTGAAAAAAGTAGCTAGCTACAAGTTACAAGCTACTTTATATTGTAAGTAGCTAAGTTACTTAGTAGCTAAGTTACTTAGTAGCTAAGTTACTTAGTAGCTAAGTTACTTAGTAGCTCAACTACCTCTTAAAAAAAATAGCTAAGCTATTGGTAACTTAACTACTTATTGAACTAGTGAAAGCTACTATTTAAGCTACTTTTTTAAAAGTGAAATTAATAAAAACAAAAAAACGTGCACAATCGCCACCATCAATGTAACTTACCTAATTTAAGTTCATTATATCATCATACGAAAATAAAATTTTAATTTTCTCTAGGAACTGCAGTTCTCATATTTTTGATAAAAACCACTGGACATTTATTAAGTTCATTTTGATTACAGTGATCTGCGAATGCGAGAATAAAACAGGACACATAGGACATACAGGGATAAGTTGAAACTATTCTAAACAAGGCAGGCTAAGATTTTTCCGAAAAAATGATAATTGTAGCTTAAGCTTAAGTAGCTTGTTTTAGTAGCTAGCTACTTTTCACAGTAGCTTATGAATACATGAAACACATTACCAAAAGCTACAGCTACAAGCTACTTTATTCAGCAGTTCTTTCTTCTTCAGTAATAAATTCAGGCATACTTCCAATATAGTTAAAATATATTTTCGAGGCAACATAAAACTAAAATTGGCAAGAAAGTTTCAATAATTTGCTTTGTTAATTTCGAAATAGTTCTATCATCATTTTGAAAGACAATGCTGCCACACCACTTGCATACATATTGAAGACCGAGGACTTGGTCAGCCTATTTCGTGATCTTCCTACGATTCCACGGTTTCCTCTCCAATGTAAGTACCTATGATTTAATGCATTAATTACATCTGTGGCCGAATTCAGCTTTCATGGGGCCCGGGGCTATTGAATTTTTAAGGAGCCCTTCATATATTTTTGAAGTGAAACTTCTTTAATCTTTACGCACGGTAAGTTAAGTTCGTTTCATGCGAGTTTCTATGTAAAGAAAACATGCAAGGCTAGGCATCCCCTCTACTGACACGAAGTCGGGTTAGTAGTGGGGATTTCTTGAGCCATCGCGCGCTTCAATGCAATTATACCTACCAATAAACCGATTCCATAACCCGTTTCCTGTTATGTGTTTGTGCTTGGAGAAGTTTCACTTCAGTAGCGTGTTGTATGATTATACTATATGCATTTTTTTTATATTAGGTAAATGCAAAATAATATAGAAAAAACTTTATTCCTGATATAACAAAACACACTTTACAAAAGTACATACAGTGTGACAATTTGAAAAGTAGCAATTGGGAATATCTATGATACAAAAAATACTATCAGGAAGATCTCAAATACTTATCGGGGGATTAGAGGAGGAATCAAAATGAGGCACTTTTTGAGGCATCCCGCCTCACCCCTTAGGGGGTAGCTACCCCCAATTTATTTTTTTCAAATACGAACCTTCCTTGTGTTACACATTGTTCGATAGCTCGTTGCTATCCATTTACAGTCATATAGCAAAATCTTAAATCGGGCGATTAGTTTTTGAGATATCGGTGTTTGAAAGTGATGAGCATATTTTGAAAACTAGTTATTTTGATTATCTCATAGGCAAAAAAAATCTGTCATAAAAGTTCCGAATACACATCAGCGAAACCAGATAATGTGTTTATCGTAAATCTATCTGCTTCTGCACATCTCTAAAGACGAATAAATAACGTTTCAAAGGAGCTATCACACGGGGTAGGTTCTCATTTTAGAAAAATTATTAGGAGCGGCTAGCCCCCAAGACAAGGGGATGGGGATTAGGCAACACATTTGGTTTCCCCGTTGTGTACTTGATACTTTTATGACAGAATTCTTTTCTCTGAGAGATAGTCAAAATAACTAGTTTTCAAAATATGCTCATTTTTAAACACCGATATCTCAAAAACTAATCGTCCGATTTAAGATTTTGCTATATGACTGTAAATAGGGATAGCAACCAGCCGTCGAACGATGTGCCACATAAGGCACGTTCGTATTTAAAAAAAAATAAGTTAGGGTAGCTACCCCCTAAGGGGTGAAGCGGGGTGACTCAAAAAGTTCCTCATTCTGGTTCCCCCTCCAATCCCCCGATACGTATTTGAGATCTGTCTGATACCTAGTATTTTTTGTCTAAGAGATATTCTCGAGTGCTACTTTTCAAATGTTCACTCTGTATGTCAAAATATCTTATTTCGTGACTTTAGTTTAACGTATTCTTGTATGACATCATCAAATTCTAATTCTAACATGACTTAATCTTGGAATGTTCAGGAAGCTCAGAAAAGAATACCAATTGTGTGGTAGTTAATTTGTGGCTTCTTTTTCAAGCCAATCAAATTATTCTAGGAAACAAGAAACATTTGCAATAAGCCCTTTCAATATTATCTTTTCCTCAAATAAAAAATCCAGACCTGGTTTTTGAGGTATTTTACAAGATTCCCTATAAACCCTTAAAATTTTATTTCAGAAGGAAGCCATTAAGAATGTCCATTTTTATCATTTGTTTGGAAGGACCTAAGTTTATGTTTTTTTTTTTTTTCTTCTGAAGGATAATCCAACTAAAATTAATGTCGCAGCTATACCTACATGAATGATAAAAGTGGGGGAAAGAAGAGTAAAATAATTTTTTCCTCAAAAATATTTTCATAAATAAAAGCAATGAAGCAGAATTTATATCTACCAAAACGATAATTTGTCAGGATTCTGAAATTGCCATTTTATATCAAATGAATCACCCATTGTCAAGGAAAACATTAGAGTTTATACCTTGATAAGGAACTGGGTTTTTTAATAGCTTGACAGCAGAGTAGTGCGGCTTTTCAAGCTACCTGTGTGCTAATATTTACGTGATTTTAAATTTAGTACTATAGGTTCTTTCTTTCGGTGCAGTGCAGTATCTACATTTAAAACTACCTAACGTCATATTTAGTGAGTGATTTTAAATTTTTGTCTTTTGTTTTATGAATAACTGAGAGGTGACAAATCCAAAAACAAATTCTCAAAACCTTAAATCATATTGAACTGGCAATCAAACAGTTAAGAAACAAAACATGGCAGTTGAGAGTTCAAGTTTAGACGAAATGGAGGTTCTCAGAGGAATGTTATCAGTGCCTAAATTCAATGATTTCATGAGTCCTGATGAATTTGAAGCAGTTATGATACCACTGATGACAGATAATACCAACAATCTAAGACAAAATGGACGCATAGAGAATAGATTCAACTCTGAAGGATATCTTTTGCCCCAGTGTATTGCAAGATTCAATGATGCAACATACAGGTATACGTACCATGTGTACCGTCTTGGAATCAGACCAGATCATGTTGGCCACAGCTTACAAGAACTTTCATCTTTATCGAGATCAGATGATGTGCAAAGAAGAAATATGGCTCTAAATACTCTGGCGAATATTCTGAAGATCGATCGAACGGGAGTTTATAAAAGAGTTATTGAATTGCCAATAGGGCAAATCTTTTTTGTGCTTAAATTCAATTTGGATGATGATACACCATCAATTTTAATAGCAGCAATAAGAGCTTTGAGGAATTTGGTTTATTTTCCAATTGGTGAAATTTGTTTGGATAAAATGGCCTGTAGTGGAATGGGTATTATACAACCAGTTATGTCAATTGATGATGCTATGGAAGATGATGATACTTTGGATGATGAGCAATTGGCAGAGATCAATTTAACTAAATGTTTGATCAGGACTGGGACCTTGGAAAGAATCAGGTATTTTTGTATGTTATGTTTACTGAAAACAGATAGGAGTGTTTATTTAAATAAAATTAATTATTCTTACTGAGCTTGTGTCAGCTATTTCAAATCAAATAGGTACTATATCTATGTCTCTTCTCAAAAAAAATCATTTATTCATCGACTGACATTAGATTATCAAAAAATGACTACTAGGCTCATTCTAAAGATGCTCTTAAATTGGTCCCAAAAACGGTATAGTACAGGTTTAAGGGTTGAAAATATAAAAAAATCAATTCGAGATTTTAGACGCTTCATTATTTGACAGGTGATTATTATTACCTACTGTCCTCAACATTTTCTTAAATCGGTTTCAAAATCGGATTTGCGTTTGAAAATATGAAAAAAATTAACTTCAAATTCTTCAGTTGACCCTTGATATTAGGTTCATTTTAAAGTTTCTCTAAACTTGGTTCCAAATCCGATTTGTAAAAATATGTAGTTAGAAGTTTTTTGCTTCTTAATTTCAACCCTCAAACGCGTACCGAATTTGAAACCAAATTGAGGAAAAGCTAAGAGGAATTAGTATTTATCTGTCAGACGACGAATAGATGACCTCATCCATAATCTTGAGAAAAAAAAAGATCAATTTTTTCATATTTTCAACTGGTAAACCTGTACTGATTTTCGAAGCAAATTTAAGGGAAAGTTTAGAATGGTGGGTAGGTAACCCAACCCAAAATCTGTGGAAAAATAATAGTTTTTCCATATTTTCATCCCCTTAACCTGTATCGATTTCTTCTTCTCTTCAATGATCTTAAACTGCAGGACAGTTTTGATTTTCAGGTTTTTTCTTCTTTTTTAGGTTTTATTTGATTTTCCTGTGTTGTTTTTCTGAAAATCCTGTGTGCTTATTAAAATAACTTTTACAAAATTTGTCCAAAACCCCTAAGTTATTATTTTATAACTTTTTTATTTCAGATATATTGTTAACATAGTAAAACCAAAGATGGAAATTATAGTCAACTGCATTGAAATTCTTATAAGACTTGCCAGAGATTCCAAATTTGTTGTCGATAAAATCTTGGAGTGTGAAGGACTTATGAGCAGCTTGATAAGATATTTCTTGCCAACAATGGAATCAGTGGGATTAGATAATTCTTGCCCTGATTGGTATTATTCGCCTTTACCACAAATGATTAAACTACTAAGAGTTTTATCTGCGAGAAGTAGAAACATTGCTGCCAATTTGTTGGAAGAATATGATTTGTTAAATACTATGATACCATATTTGGACGAAGGTAATTTTTTTCAAAACGATACGAATTTGCAAGTGGAATGTCTGCGCTATTGGACACTTGTTCTCCATTATGAATTTCCTATGGATGCATACAGGTAAGAGAAAACCTTTTTATATGCAACTGAAGTAAGGATCATTTATCTACCTCGCTCCCAGAATGTACAACTTGTTGCTACTTCAAATTAGGACTATGCCAAGACGAAGATTTATTCAAGGATTTAATCTTGTGCACATTGTGCTTGAGCCAAAGTGCAAACAATATTTTTTTAGTTTTTCAAGGAACCATTTATCGGCTGTCAGAAGGAGGTGCTCAAAGAATACAATCCCCTTTAAATAGGCCTCTGAAGGTGCGTTTGGCCAAAGTTTAGTTTGGCTAGAATGATTATTTTTATAGGTATTACATATCTTCTAGCAGTTCGTTGTCTATAAGCCCCTATATTACTCCAACCAGCATGAATATTGCATTTGATATCGTTTCTATTTTTTGTTGTTCCTCATGTGACTTTTATCTACTAGTACCTACTGTCAACTACTGTCCTGTTTTTGAGTAAGGTATATTTTCAAAGCCATCTCTTTTAGCTTTGAATATATGTATATTTTCTTTTATTTGTTGCATTGTTGTGGCAGCAGTAGGTAATTTTATCTATAGACATTAGAAGTAAATATTTCTTTGGCTTTCTTGTGTACTTTATGTGGGTTCTAATTTTCTTTGGTTATTATTGTATGGATTTTTTTTTTTTTTTTTTTTGATCCACCGTTCTATAATTTGTGGTTTTTTTATAAAGTTTCAGGCTAACTTAATTTGTCATGCAAGATTCTACAAATTTTAGTTTTTGTAATGTTAGCTCCATATCTTTTCTCGAAAATGTAGTCAATAGTTTTTTTCCTGTTGCGTACGTATTGAACAATATACAAGGTGTATCTGAAAGTGAGGTTTTTTTTTACCAGTGTGTCCGAGATAAGGATAGGAGAGCATTAGGACCTAGAGAACGGTTGGAGTTACAATGTTGGTTAAATTAGGAAAAAGTTGGGAATTTAACGCTCAATAAAGTGGAGTAGAGTAGTGGGAAAAGTTGTTACGATGAAGTGATTCTTATATTGAAATATCTCCTCAAATAAGCGCAGAAAAAAATAAAATCGATTTTGAAAAATTTTGGTTTTTTCCGGATATCTCCGAAAGTGTTTGAAATTTTTCAAATGTTAAAATACAATTTTTTTTAACGTTAAATTACGCAACTTTTTCCTCATCTAACCAACATTGTAACCTCAACCGTTCTCCAGATCCTAATGCTATCCCATCCTTACCTTATCTTGGACATACCAAAGTACAATATAACTCATAACGTAGGCATTTCTCAAAAAAATCAATGTATATATCTCGCCAAAATAGGCTGTTTGGCAAAAAATTTATGTAAAGAAAGTTTTTGCCAAACAACGTGAGATATACAGGGTGTCCACTTAGTGCGATATCAGACGGTATCCCCTTACAGGGTGATTCGATAAAAAAAAATTGAATTACAAAGTTGTTTGATACTCTAAGGTGCATTAGTTAAAAATATTTTTGAATATTGAATATACAAGGTACTCTGTAAATGGGGTATATTGTAGATTGTAGATTTCGGGGGAGTCGTTTCGGCTTTTCAGCCGCTCAGCACTGCTACTTTTGCAGATATTTTGTGCGTGACTCTACATCTTAATTTGTCTCCAGGAAGCGTAGACTTCTGCCGAAGGAAGCTATTTTCCTGGGTGTCAGTTGGCCCACTTCTTCTGGTGACAGTGTTGCCCCCTCGAGGAATATGAGCCTCTTGCAGAATTGGGCTGGACATTCGCAGAGCAGGTGCTCTGCGGTTTCTATTGCGTCTGAGCAGAATCTGCAGAGATCGTCTTCTGCTCTGTCCATTAACCTTAAATGGTATTTTACTGGGCAGTGTCCTGTGAGCAGTCCCACCACCAATCTGATGTCTGGTCTGCTCATGCTTAGGAGCTGTTCAGCTCTTTTTGCTGAAAGGGTAATAAACCTTTTTGACTGTCTGAGTCCCGGTGTGTGCCTCCAATATGATGACAGTTGGTCTTTCTCCCATTTGTTGAGTTCTTCCATGATGTGGCTTTTCATTAAGCCACAGTAGGGCTCTGGTGCATGGTATGGTGTTGAGGCCCCTTCCTTTGCGAGGCCATCTGCCTCTTCGTTTCCTTCTATGCCTCGATGACCAGGCAGCCACATCAGCGTTACCTGGTTATGTGTCGCTAGTGTTTTTAGGGTCTGTTTACACTCCCAGTTTAGTTTTGACGTGCATTTGAAAGCCCTCAAGGCTTTTAAGGCAGCTTGGCTGTCCGATAGTATGAAGATGTGTTTTCTTTTGAGGCTTTGGTTAAGACACTCTTGTGCACATATATCTATGGCAAACAGTTCGGCTTGAAATATTGTAAGATGTTTACCCAATGCCTTGGAGAGCTTGAAGTTAGGGCCGGAAATGCCCAGTCCAGCTCCTACCATTAGCTTGGATCCATCTGTGTACCACAGAGATGCATTGTCTGCTTGTGGTAGTTCTTTATTCTCCCATGATTGGCGGTCGTTTATTACCACAGAAGGGGATCTCTAAGTCCAATCTGACCATCATGTGGTCACTTGGTGTAAATGGGGTATGAGACAGAACTTTGTTATTTTAAATGGAACCCCCCTTTATTTTATTACATTAATGGATCGTCCCTTAAATCCTACATATACTTTTTGTTAGGAATTACCTATACCAAAACTATATGACATTGTACATGAAATATGTCTAGAATTTTTGGCAGAATCCAGAAAAGTCATAATATCTAGGGGGAGTCATTTAAAAAAACATAACTTTGAGTCACTACTAGTTATTGGGCCACCCTGTATACTGGAAAATAATTTAGGAATGTAGTACTCAGGTTTATCTACAAGTTTTGTATTTAGTTTTTTCTTCGATCTCCATTAGTATGTAGATATGGACCACCGCGCGCTCAGTAACTCACCCTGTATAAGGCCGGTGTTACTGGGCAGTTTTAAGTTTAAGTTTGACTGTGATACGATTCAGTTAGTGATTATTGTTGAGAGTTGTAAAGAGTTTAGTTGTTGAGTTAATTAATAAAGTAATTAGTGTCAAAGTGTATAGTTATGTGGAATAATTATTGCTGTGGTAATTGGACTTTGATTTTGGAATAAACGATCAACGAACCCAAGATTTCTGTCACGCACCCCAGAGCCATGACATTGGTGTCAGAAGTGGGACATAATTTGAGGACTGCAAAGTGAAATCCGATTGCAGAATAGTGCGGGGACACTAGTGTAGTATAAGAACACTGTGAACAATAAGTGAACACTGGGACAGTTAGTCAGTGCAAACAGTGACAATCATAAAAACAGACTTAACCGATCGTGTAAATTACTTCCTGTATATTCAAAAATATTTTTAACTAATGCACCTAGAGTACCAAACAAATTTGTAATTTAATTTTTTTTGCTTGCATCACTCTGTAAGGAGATATCGTCCAATATCGCACTAAGTAGACATCCTGTATACGTATATCCTAGCCTGTTAAAAAAAACTCACTTTCAGATCAGAGCTGGGCAGTAGCTAGCTACCAAGTAGTTAAGCTACTAGCTTAGCTACTTTTTTGGTAGCTAATAACTTATTCAAGCTACTTTGAAAAAAAAGTAGCTTGTAGCTGTAGCTTTTGGTAATGTGTTTCAAGTATTCATAAGCTACTGTGAAAAGTAGCTAGCTACTAAAACAAGCTACTTAAGCTACTTTTGGTAGATAGTTAATAGTTATTTAGGTATTAATGGCGGAAAGTGTCATTTACCACCTGAGGGTGTGGTTAACGATACTCAACGCCCAAAATACTTATTACGTTTTATGCGCAGCGGACTCTTCTAGTTCAGAAATAAAATAACTATACCTATAATATAATGGCATCCATTCGACATTGTTTTCAAAAATAAACACTTTTCCCCTTATGAAGGCACGTTTCCACCAACCTATCGCCCGCGTTTGAATTTACCGCTCGATAAAAGTAAAATCTCTTTTTTTTTTTAAGATAAAAGTCAAAATGACATTATGTTGGCAATACAATGTAAAATTGTCAATCTTGCAATTTTTTTATCTAGAAAAGGCTTATGTTGCCAACAAAGTTACTAAATTATTGACTTGGGGAATTATCTTAAAAAAAAAACAGACTTTAACTTTATACTTCAATTGCTCAAGCTACAATTATCATTTTCCGGAAAATTCTTATCCTGCCTTGCTTAGACTAGTTTCTAGTTATCTCTGTAGATACCTATGTTTTATGTGTCCTATTTTGTTCTCGCATTCGCAGATCACTGTGATCAAAGTGAACCTAATAAATTAATGTCCAGTGGTTTTTGACAAAAATATGAATACTACTTCTTTAGAGAAAATTAATATGTTATTTTCGTATGATGATATGAAATTAAATTAGGTAAGGCATGTACATTGATAAAAGTAGCTTAAATAGTAGCTTTCACTAATTCAAAATGTAGTTAAGTTACTAATAGCTTAGCTACTTTTTCAAAGAGGTAGTTAAGCTACTGAGTAACTTAGCTACTTACAATATAAAGTAGCTTGTAGCTTGTAGCTAGCTACTTTTTCCAAGTAGCTTGCCCAGCTCTGTTTCAGATTCACTCTGTATATTAGACTCAAATCTTAGTTTTGGGTAGGTAGAAACTTTTTCCTGGGATTCTACCATTAAGTTCACTTAATTCATTAACTATTTATTATGTTTCTATTTTTCAGCCAAGATATTGTCGTTATCGAGAACCTCTTGAATCACCATTTACGACTTACAAACAACGATGTTTCCACCACATTAATAACTCAATGCCATGTGGCAGCCTTGTTTATGCTGCTTGCAAAAGCTATAGAAACAGGGCATGTAATGTTTCAATCTATAACTACTGAGTGCTTCGCAAAATGGATCAAACAGTTTCAGAATATGAAAGAGTTTGAGGTGAAAATTTACAGTATTTATGGCCGTTTGCACAGACCTTTATAAAATGGTCGGTGCAAATGGCCATCACTGATATGGCAAATATTTCGATAAGACTCATCACATTGCAGGAAAGATGAACTTTATTGTGCATTACCGATAATATTGACTTTAATTTTTAAATTTGTAGTCTGCCCATTCACATATAACCACCTCTATACTCTATT